GGGCACAGGTGCGTACGTGCGCCTTCCTGCGGGAAAAGCGACCCGGGCGAACAGAAACAAACAGAACGAGCAAGCCAGCCGGCCCGCGGCGCCGCGACCGGCCGAACTTCTTGTGGTTGTACGATTTTTCTCCTAGATTTAAATAAGCCTTCCCCAACACCGAATGGGATTGCGTCTCCAGACACAGCCAGCGGTGCCATGGACCCCTTTCATGCTTGCAGTGTCCTTAAGCAGCTCAGGACAATGTTCGATGAAGGACAGTTGACAGACATTGTAGTGGAAGTGGACCACGGGAAATCATTTTCCTGTCATAGAAACGTTCTTGCTGCCATCAGCCCCTACTTCAGGTATGACGACGGCAGAGCCCTCTGTCGGAACCGCGCCACCTCCCTCCCCGGCCCCGGCCGGTTCTGCACGCACTCACCTGCTGCGACGAAATGAAAACAGATCACAGGCCCCATATATATACATATACACACACATATATATGTACATAGATACATACATATATGTGTATATATACACATATATGTATAATTATTTTTTTCCTTGTTTTTGACTTGTTGGGTTCTTCTAGAATCAGGTGGTTGTGTGTGTGTGTGTGTGTGTGTGTGTGTGTGTGTTTAAGTTAGTGCATATGTTTGTGTTTGTTTCAGGCAAATGTTCGGGAAATCTAGAATTGTGCTGCCCAATATGGCAGCCATTAGCCACACGTGGCATCGAAACTTTATTTAAAATTAAACAAAATAAAAAATTCAGTTCCTCAGGCACACTAACCACATTCAAAGTGCTCAGGAGCCACATGTAGGTAGTGGCTGCCGCATTGCACAGCCCAGGTACAGAGCATTTCCATCACTGAAAATGTTGTTGGCCGGTGCTGGTCTAGAATTGGCTCCAAAAATTGACCCATGATGCGTATTTCTTTAGTGCGTGTAACGCTTTTAGAGTTTAAAACATAATAGACTGTTCTTTTGAAAACAAATTACTGTTAATAGATTGTTTTAATGCCTTGGGGATAAAAGCAGTGAAATAAAAATAAGTGAAATACAGTTTTCTGTGTACCTTAGTGATTATTTCCAAGATTTGCAGAAGCATTTTTTAAGCTACGTTTTGTATAAAACTTTGAAAAGTTAAATTTTAAAACTGGAGTCTAAAAAATAATTTCATACTCTAAGACATACCCTTAAGAAAGGACCAGTAATAAAGGCAGCTTCTGGCTTGAGTTTAAGTTCTCCTTTTGTTTCAGGTGCTCATTTTTTTAAAGCTTTTCAGTGTCCAGTAATGGTGCACGAATGAACAGGAAATAATTTTCTCGACCACACTCTGAGTGTGCTGCTTCCTCTTGAAGGTGCTTACCTTTATAGGGCATATATAGCAGTGTAGTGTTCCACACAGTAGTTTCTGGTTCCTATTTATCAAAACACTGAGTTAAATGTAGTCACTTCAGCCTGATGCTTGTGATGCAACCAGTTAGACTTGCTAGAATAGGTCATTCGACTATTAAGTGTTAACCGTCATGAGGCAGTGAGCTGGAAAGGAAAAATAAGAAACCCATGTAGTACACAAAAAATAGGAAGTTTGGCCTGGTTATGGAAACTGCTGGTGAGATTTACTTACCCAGACTATCCATTTGATATGTTTAGGTTATTTATGCATTAAAAAATATTTAGATATATGTCATAATTAAATGCTTATCAAGCTCTGGGCTAAGCTTACTTTGCATATATTGCTTTATATAATTTTTAAAATTCTGTCTCTGAGCAGTTGTCATTCACATTCTACATGTGATAAAACTGAGGTGTGGGGGTGGGGGGTGGAGATCAAGTGGCCTGTCTAAATCATCTGACTAATAAGTGGCAGAGGTTGGGTTTGATTCCAGAGCCAGGCTTCTTAGTCACTATATGACCTTTAAGGAACAGGAGTGTTGGTTCTCTTTTAAAGTCACCTTGCAGACGTGTTTATTATATAAGGTTTGAAGAGTTTAAAAACCCCAAAACACTGAATTTCAAAGTGAAAATGTCTGTCTTACTGAAATGTTACACTGTCTTATATCATTAAGTGTCATACTTAATTAAAATTCATTTTGAAGACCTAAACAAGCCACTTTGAAAGAAGTATGCTATAACAGATTTTCTTAATTTCCAAGAAATTAGATATCTGAATTCAAATGAAGATATTTGTCTAGAAAGTGTAAGGATTGGATTTTTGTCTCTTGCTTGTCATGTTTGTACAGAAGTTTCTTGGCACGGTGCTGTTGCTTGTGTGAAATCTAGAAAGTCATACTTAATCGTTTCTGAGTCTTGCATCACTGGCGGAAGAATTAGAATAGCTTGGAATCTGGCATAGCTGTTTCATGCCCCAGTGACTTCTCAGAATTAAAAATTGTATTATTACAAACATTTTACTGCTCAGGGTTTTGTGTGATGAAGTGCTCCGACTTTATATAGAGTTTACATAAGGAACCTATCAGAACCGAGAGCTCATCAGGTGTCATACTGTTCCTGTGTGTGAGACCAGCCTATTCAGGTGAGTGGTAGTTCCCATGATAAAGGGACATGTGGCAGTGTTCTCTGTTGGGAGCTAATCTATGACTAATGAAGGGCTTTATTTTTCTTTTTAATTGGTAACTGTATCGCTGAGTTTTTCAGCACCTGAATTGAAAACCAGCTCATACATTGGAATATCTAGTTTACAGTCATCAGAAAAAGCCTGTGTAATATTAGACTTAGAATTTACATTGTAGAAGTAAAAATAGGACTCAAAGATGGTTAACCCAGGTATCAAGCTGGGTCTTTGTGATACCTGTATACCTCCAGTATTTTGAGAAGATTTAATTTTTAAATTAATTTAATGGAGACTCAAAAGTGATTGAAATCTCCCTATTTAAGGATATTTTTTGTAGCATCACACTTAAAAATAAAATGGGAGGTGTCTGGGTCTGTCTAGTTAACTTTATCATCAGTGTTAGGTCACTTTCTTCAAGAGACATCTAGTAAGTATTCTAGAGCAAGCAGTCCCTTTCTGGAAAGGCTTTTAAAAGAGCTTTTGATTTAGTTTTTATATTTTAATTTTAAGAACAGCCTTGAAAGAAACCTTAAATGAGGGAAAGAAATACAAATAGTGTTTGAAAATAACTAATACTTAAGAGCCAGGCTTTGGCTATTTAATGTATTGTCCAAGAAAGGCCCATAAGTGCACAGATATTTAAAAACAAACAAACAAACAAACAAAAAACTTGGTTTCAAATGTGAAAGTTTGGGATTTAAAAACCATTACCTCTAAGAATCAGTTAATTCCTAAATTTTCATTAGAAGTAGACATTATTATCAGCCTACTGTAATCTTTATTTATACACAGATATGAATAGGTAAAATATGGTAACTTGGAGAATATTAAATATATTTTTTTGAGTAAAGGTTTTCAAAATGTCCAAGGATAAGTGATGTTCTTTATGTTCCTTATAATTGTTAAGGAAGCACTCACGAGATAGTTTTAAATAGAAATAGGTAGAGAATAAGAACTTATGAAGAATGTTTTGGTTTTCCAAGATAAAAATTTTAAAGATATATTTTGGGCACAAGTTGCCTTGTAAATTTCCACTGGGATTTGAAAAGTTTTATTAGACAGTCTCTATATGCTAATGAATCACATTAACACCTATAGGTATTCTTAAACTTTCTGACTGGCCTGGTGATTTAAGATCTTAAGTCCCTAAGGCAAATTGACCAGAAACCTGGATGGGGGCTCCAGTGAAAATCAGGTGTCCTGGAATACCTTGTCTCAGAGTTGGCACAAAGTGGACTCGTCCTGATGAGGTTTTTGAGATTAGTCAGACTAAATCCTATCCCCATTCAGAGTATCAGGAAACACATTAGGAAATATTTTTCAGTTTCAAAGGTTATCTTTGTGGTAAATTTATACTTCTAAATATTTGCCAACATAACTTTTACTTATAGCACGCATATAATATTAAGTACTCTTTCTTTCATAGGTCCATGTTCACTAGTGGCCTTACAGAAAGTTCTCAAAAAGAAGTTCGAATAGTAGGTGTTGAAGCTGAATCGATGGACTTAGTGTTGAAGTATGCCTACACCTCCAGAGTTGTTCTGACAGAGGCCAATGTTCAAGCTTTGTTTACCGCAGCTAGCATCTTCCAGATTCCTTCCATCCAAGACCAGTGTGCTAAGTATATGATCAGTCATTTGGACCCACAAAATTCTATTGGGGTCTTCATCTTTGCTGATCATTATGGTCATCAGGAACTCCGAGATCGATCAAAAGAATACATTCGTAAAAAGTTTCTGTGTGTCACCAAAGAACAAGAGTTTCTCCAGTTGACAAAAGATCAGCTGATAAGTATACTAGACAGTGATGATTTAAACGTAGACCGAGAAGAGCATGTTTATGAAAGCATTGTAAGGTGGTTTGAACATGAACAGAATGAAAGAGAAGTGCACCTTCCAGAAATTTTTGCCAAATGCATACGTTTTCCTCTGATGGAAGATACCTTTATAGAGAAAATTCCACCTCAGTTTGCACAGGCTATAGCCAAAAGCTATGTAGAGAAGGGACCATCCAACACTAATGGCTGTACACAGAGACTTGGAATGACTGCATCTGAAATGATCATATGTTTTGATGCTGCCCACAAACACTCAGGAAAGAAGCAAACAGTGCCTTGTCTAGATATAGTCACAGGAAGAGTATTTAAATTGTGCAAACCACCAAATGATCTAAGAGAAGTTGGGATTCTTATCTCACCAGATAACGACATTTACATCGCAGGAGGATACAGGCCAAGCAGCAGTGAGGTGTCCATCGACCATAAGGCAGAAAATGATTTCTGGATGTACGACCATTCCACCAACAGGTGGCTACCCAAACCGTCCTTGCTTCGGGCCAGAATAGGCTGCCGGCTGGTGTACTGCTGTGGTAAGATGTACGCCATCGGAGGGCGTGTTTACGAAGGTGACGGGAGAAACTCGCTAAAGTCTGTGGAGTGCTATGACAGCAGAGAAAATTGCTGGACGACTGTTTGTGCAATGCCTGTGGCCATGGAGTTCCACAATGCTGTGGAGTACAAGGAGAAGATCTATGTCTTACAGGGTAGGTGCCTAAGGGATTTAGTTCATGCAAGGGTAGAGGTCAGATTGTGTTTCACTTATGCTAAGACAGGTGTTTCTTCCTGTTAAAAGAGGAAGACCTCTGGGTTTATTATCATGAACTTTAGTGGAACAGTGTGCTCTTTAAAGGCCCTATAAAGAAAATAAACTTTTAAATAAAACAAGGCAGATATTTTTAAGTTACTAAAATAATCCTGTAAATTTTTTATGTTCTTATTGTGTTTTGACATCATGTGGAATAAGTATTTTTGAAAGCATTCTTTAGTAAGTAATAGTTTAGTATTTTTGGAGAACTATTTCAGAGCTGTTTTTAAGACTTTAAACAAGAAAGCAAGGTTGATACATGACCTTATTTTGCTCTTCAGTAATAAATAATCAAGAGATGATGTAGCAGCTACTTTTCTTATGGAACTTAAGGATTAGTTTCAAAGAGAAAAACAAAGCATTAACTAAAGTTATACTAATCAGTTACCCAAGGATTTTGGATAAGCTTTATGATTGCAAAGGTTACAAAAATTAATTACAAAGATTTTGAAATTATAGCCCTCTGATTTTAATTTCAGTGCAGTTTTGTTACCTTCCCTAATACATTGTTTTCAGGGTTTTTCCCACTGGAAAACTTTGAGATGTCACCTTTTTCTTACATTATAAATGAGAGGGAATATTCAATGTACTTAGCTTTTGAAAAGATTTTAAATGATACAGTAGAAGCAGAAAAAGTGACTGGGTGAGAATAAAAAAGACCTTTGTCCCAAGGTTCTGATTTGAGATAACTACTGTTTTTCTTGAGTTTGGTTTCATACATCATGGGTGGTTGAATGTTGAATGCAATGTTGATAATACCACCACCCTTATTTCTCTTCTGTGTTTCTTAGTTGCTTATGTAGAAATGTTTTCCTCACTTCCGACTTTAATGAAACAGGAAAAAGGACAACGTCTGTGTAGCTACACAACGCACATGAGTTCGTAGTTCTTGTTCTGTTGTTCTCTCTAAATTATGCTCTTGGCTGTAGCCCTTTATTTGACTTAAAATTTCTCAGCAGAGCTTGAACCCATGTATTAAAGTTCAGTAAAAGTTAATTTTCCAGAAGGAGTAGTACTCTCTGGTGCCTTATTGTAGTTGAATAGAAACACAGGCATGATTTAGGTTTGTTTGTTGGTCTTGCTGAAAATTGGAATATAAGAATGGACGTATAATCCATAGAGTATGGTTGGGTAGGTTGTAGCATCCAGTATGAGGAAGCTCTCTACATATATTTTGGTCTTACTAGCTAACCAGTTAGTTGATAGAAATAGAGTTAATTGTAAGACACTCAGTTGGAAGGTAGAGGCTGTGTATTAATATAAATACTAAAGCAAAGTAGCATTGAATTAATAGAACTTCAGGGCTGGAATGAACATTGTTTAATCCAAGGTTGTATTTTATATAAGGGGAATCTGAGGCTCTGAGGGTTTTCTTGATGACCCATCATTGCTTTTAATTTATTAAAGTGGATTTTAGATGTTAAAAATCAACTTTCTATTATATATCATCTTTCCATAAGAAATTTGTAGAGAGTTAGTACACGTTAGAAAGTTTTAATTTCTCTATTCACTAAGAATCCTGTTACAAGTTCATCATTTAAGGGCAGGTGATGCGCAAGCGAAAACTGGGAGTTTAACAAGCTGTTTTAAGAAAAATTGAAATTACAGCGTCACTGTTAAGTAGGCGGTTAATTTTGTAGTTAAGAGTAAGCCTAGTTCAAAACAGTTTTCAAGGAGAAGCTCAGTTTAGAAGGAGATATTTAGGTATTTCTAATCTAAACAAAGCCTCTTTATATAAATAAACTTGACATGAGTAGTCAGAAGCTTATGGTATACTCTCTGTGTATCATTTATTCTGTGTCATAAAGGGTTCAGATTTTTATATCAAGGATTTTATAAAAATGTTATAATTAGCCAAACTCTTGAAAGTCTTCACTAATTTAATTCTTTTAGACATTTTTATATTAGCAGTCTGACTCAACACACCCTTTTATTGTTAAAAAAGAATTGAAACCAACTCAAAGTCAACTTCATAAACTGTGTGTGTTTTATATTAAAGAGAAATATGTTTTCACCCTTTGAATATTTGTCTTTTCATTACGGCAACACTAAAATAAACACATAAGTGCACCATTGACACAAATCTGAACAATTCCATGTACTATCTTCTAATTAAATAATGAGCACATAAATTTATAGTGGCTTATTCATGATGAAGCTATAAACACACTTTGACCTCACTTGCTAACCATTAGTAAATAATGCTTTTGTAGAGCCGGCTTAAAATAAATTTTCTGAAATACACAATTGGATACAATAAATGGAACCAAGGTCATTTTTTTTTCTTTTTAAATTTTTATTTATTGATTTTAGATAGAGGAAGGGAGAGAGAGAGAAACATCGATTTGTTGTTCCACTCATTTATGCATTCATTGGCTGCTGCTTGTATGTGCCCTGACCTGAGACTGAACCCACAACCTTGGTATATGGGGATGGACGACGCTCTAGCCAACTGAGCTACCCAGCCAGGGCTGACCCAAGGTCATGACTCTTATTCTGCCATCAAGCCAAAGTAACTCCTCACCTCTCATTACAAACACCCCCAATTCAGGTTGACTATATAATATTATGGGTTATATTGTGCCATGGAACAAAGAAGTTTTAAGCTATTTTATAATTACTGTATCTCTGGAGATTATAAAAGCAATATTGTAGAAAGTGAAATATTTGAAAAGTTATGTTCTTTGGTCTTCAACATACAACCAAAAAGAGACATATAAATGTACATATTCTTGTTTTTCCTTTTTTTTTTAGGAGAATTTTTCCTCTTCTATGAGCCTCAAAAAGACTACTGGGGTTTTTTAACCCCTATGACTGTGCCTAGAATCCAGGGCTTAGCAGCTGTATACAAAGACTCTATCTACTACATAGCTGGAACCTGTGGAAATCATCAACGCATGTTTACTGTAGAAGCCTATGACATTGAGCTAAATAAATGGACTCGTAAGAAGGATTTTCCATGTGATGAGTCCATCAATCCATACCTTAAACTGATACTTTTCCAGAATAAACTCCATTTATTTGTTCGAGCTACTCAAGTGACCGTTGAAGAACATGTCTTCAGAACCAGCAGAAAAAATTCCCTTTACCAGTATGATGACATCACTGACCAATGGATGAAAGTGTATGAGACCCCAGATCGGCTCTGGGACCTTGGCCGGCACTTTGAATGTGTTGTTGCTAAACTCTATCCTCAGTGTCTTCAGAAAGTACTTTGAGTAGCAGGCCTTAGTGAGTTCATTGACATCTAGTGCTTGAGGAAACTTAGTCTTTTAATGATACAAGAAGTGCTGTCAGTATTTAAGAAAGCTGAGAGAGTTTGTACACGGAAGTGTGTGCTCTGAAAGATTACAATGTAGGGAGTGATGCCTTTTCATCCTTGTGATGTTTTCATTTCAGTAAGCAAAAGATAACAAAGTGCAATTATCAGCATTTTTTTCTGATACAAAAACAATCATTTTCATGCTAGAATTTTGTGATAGGCTCTGACATAGCAGATGAATTAATAACTATGCAGTCTTATAAGAGCAATTAGGGTATTATTGGTTAAAGTCATCCAGACTAGTTTGATGTGACTTTTTATTTTAAATACGGGTAAAACTCTGAGGCAATATCACTAGAACTTTAGCTGTGACCTCTCCAACACAGAGAAGCACTAACTTAGATTTTTATTCTTAATATATATATATATATATATATATACTTATGTACTGTTTTCAAGTGTACTGAGATTTAAATGTGTTCTGTTAGAATAGATTGAAGGAAAAACAAATCATCTCAGAAAGAACTTTTTTCAGTCGTATTGTTTAATATTTCCCATATAACTTTAAATTAAGCTAAAATTTTAAAGTAGCTGTTGGTAACTTTTTCAAGTGCTAAGACTATCTCATTTGAAAAATCCTGAGAAGGGCTCAGATTCACAGGTGGCTGGTGCTAGTCTAAGTTAATTCATGTATATAGTAGATGGACTTAAATCGTCTGAGCCTATGCCTACCTTTCAAGTTGGTATGTTGGTTTTGTGGCCCTCGTACTTTACCTGTCAAACTCTTGTGATTTCACAAGACTCTCTACTTGGTTGAAAGCAGAATATGGCCGGCTATTGGTCCAGCTGGACTCCGTCTTAAGACAGCGAGAAGAGCAAACCTGGTTTGCACTGACACGGGCCATTTGTCATCTCACCTCCCTTTGCATCCTCTACTTGTCTAGTCTCGATCGGTACAACGAGAGGTAAATTACTCTGTTCTGCACAGAGCATAATGTGAAGTTTTACACCTACTTTTAAAATTCTGTTTTACAGAAACATAGAACTCCTGCAGTGGTTGAATTTAATGGCTTTTAAGTTACATGTGACCATTAAAACCTCATTTTCTTTTTAATTTTTGCACTTAACAATGATAAATATTTTTACATTGAAAACCTTGTTCTAGCTGAAGGTGACTGAGAAGGAAAAGAACGAGTGACTAGAACCATAGCATTATAGGTACTAAGTCATGTTTCATATTTAACTGATAAGTTTTTAACAGTCAGTTAGGAATATTCACATAAAGGACAAACCAACTCATTCGTAATACCTTTGGTAGATGTTTGGATCAGTAACTTATTTTTACTATGCCTAGAATAATCAATAAAGGGTACAAGTATAGTCCAGAGTCTGTCCTCAACTAGAACATTTTGAATTTCTTAAAACAAACTGGCATGGTTTGTATTAGAAACTCATACAGATTGTGATGTGATACTGTGAAACAAATTTAAAACATTGCCTCTGCATCACATACCTCGTCCTTCAGAAACTTTCCAAACTGCTTGTCTCCGACCTCTATGGTAGGACGTTTTCTGAAGAAGACTTCAAAGGAGACGGGATTTATAGAATTAACATTTTAAATCTAGTCTGTGAAGCTACATATGTGGGTTTTTTCTTACATGCCTTGAAAGAGTGTCTATAATCTCTTTATAAACTTTGTCAACCAGTAACCTTTTCTTCTCCCCAGTTTTTCCTTCTCTTCATCTTCATGCAGTTTGGGGGCTATTTCTGTGAGTTTTTTGAAGCATCTTTAAAGTGTTGCAGAGGGAAGGAAAAAACAAAAATAACTAACTTTTGCAAGCGATGTTCATGTAATTTATTTTTGAAAGCTTTGTTGAATATCTAAGATTTTCCGATGCTTTTTGACAATCTTCTGTATTTATTTAGGAAAAATGTGTTACTTGAAAACATGACATAGGACATTGAGTTAGTAATTACATGTGTCGTATGGCCTATAGGAGTACAGCATGCTGTGCTTCCACAGTAGATTTTTTTCTGTTGATCTGCACCACAGTTGATCCTTTCACTATAACAGTTTATATTGAGGGTATGATCTAAGTATGTATAGTGTTTCAAAGCCAAGGGTTAGAATTTGCTATCGGAGTAGAATATGTATTGAATTTTGTATGAAGAACTATTTGTTTAAATTATATAGCTGGGATACTTTGCCACTTTTTAAATGATTTGAGAAGCCCTAGAAAACTAAGATGAGTAATATGTGTGGATATATGTTTAGATAGTTAAAGTACATTTGCATAGTATGTTGAGAATATAAGTAAAAGGCACAATGGGACTGCGGAATTGAAGGTCTAAAATATGCCCGTCCCACTTTAACTTTGTTTTTGCATTTGAAGAATGTATGTAGCACTTTCCTATATATTTTTTAGACATTGAAAACTGGACTTGGTGTAACTATATTATAGGAGAGTTTTAATTTTATTCTTTAGTTTCCATTTTTATTTTCTGTTATCCTGCAAAGTCGATGCATAAGCATCAAGCTCATCTCATTGGTGCATGAGAAAAGTGGGAGTGATCCCCAAGGAATCAGATTCCCTCTGTGAAGCAGTTTAAGTGTCATTCAATGTTCAGTGCTCAGGTATGTAGTAAGTACTGTAGTCCTTTGGGGGCAAATGTGTAGATATTTTTAAACATTTTGCTGTAATTGCACAGTTTTTTGCATTTTTACATCATGGCATTGTTTCTTATAATAAAACCTTTTTCTGATTGAAAACTTCCATTGTTGTGAACTGACCTTTGACTAGTGAATTTGCAGAATGAATATTTGTTGAAAATCATAAAATACCTTATGTCATGGTGAATTAGAATGAGATTTATTCTATCAAATATTTGGCCTCTGGTACAAAATAAACTAGTTAATATCACCTTATATAATGCTCTTTAAATTCTAAAGCAAGTTCACTTGTATTGGTAACACCTTTGTTCCATTTGTTCTGGCCTAAACTCATTATTCCACTCCTCTCTCTCACATTTCACATCTAATCCATCAGAAAATCCTGTTGCCTCTTCTTTCAAAATACATCCAGATTCTTACCAGTTACCACTTGCACCACTACTACCATAGTCTAAACTAGCCTACCTTGTCTGCCTGAATATTTTGCCTGGTCTCCCTTTTATCACCTTTGACCCCTAGTAATCTATTCTGTTCTCCACACAGTATCCAGTGTTCCTGTTGAAACCTAAATCGGGTTATGTTCCTCTTCTGCTCAGACCCCTCCAGTGGCTTCCCACCTGCCTTTGTGTGAGAGCCAGACTCCTTTCTTACATGATCTACACCTCCAACCCCACCTCCTGGACTTCATTGCCATTCCACCAGCTCGTCTATTCCAGCAACACTGCTGTTCCTCAAGCATGCCAAGCCTTTCCAACATCAGAGCCTGGCAACTCATTTACTTTATTCAAGTCTCCATTGATATTCCAGGGAGGCTCCATTGACCACCTTATGTAAAATAAACACCTTTCTCCAGACTCAGCCCCTGCCCATGCCGCCTGTGTTTTATTGCTTTATTTTCCGCACACCTTCTCCCATTGAGATGTAAGCCCCACAAAGGCCAGGAACTTGTTTTATTCATTGTTGCACCTCAGACCAATGCCTAGGACATACTAGGCAGGCAGTACATGTTTACAAAAAATGAATTTTCACTTAAGTCTTAGGGCAACCTGAAAACTGGTAGGATTGGTAATGTCATCTCTATTTTATCAGGAAACACGAAGACCAAGTGAATCGCCAAAGGGGGCTCGCCTGGGATAAGAACCAAGATTTCCACTTTCACCTTCACCTGCTTCCTGCATGCTACCCTAGTTCCAAACAAAACTGATAGAAAAGGTAGATGCTCTGTATCTTGGGTTTAACGATTGCCTTTTTTGAGTCCCACCTTTCCCCCTACACTGTTATTTAAAATATCTACTATAGTTTATGGCTATGATTGATTCTCAATGATGGAATAAATGACACAGGAAAGTACTTTCTCTTTGTCGACCACTTGCACCCCACCATCGTGGTCATATACCACTGTTACGAGTTCTGTCCCTGAAATAAGTTGAAGAGAAACAAAAAGGCTTGAGAAATACTAATTTAGGCTAGCCACGCATTACATCATGATGTTTCAGTCAGCAACGGACTGCTTATACAGCGGCATCCCCATACCGTTGTAACGGAGCTAAAAAACCCCTGTCCACTAGTGACGCAGCTGTTGGAGCATCACAGCCCAGCACGTTTCTCAGCTGCTTGTGGTGATGCTGGTGTAGGCCTGTGACGCCAGGCACATAAAAGTATAGCACAGACACTAATGCACAGTACGTAATACTTGGTAATGGTACAATATTCTGTTACTGGTTGATGAATTTGCTGTCCTAGACTTTTATTGTTATTTTAGAAGGTACTCTCTTACTTAAAAATGTGCGCTGTGGAGCAGCGTGCCCTTACACCAGCAGCAGCCTCATGCATCGGCGCTCGCCTTGTCTCTGGATGGCAGTATTTTCTCTCGTGCTTGGTGAACCTGGTGTTGTGTACAGTTACCTGCTGCACGGGCTTGTAGCCCAGGCGCAACCGACCAGCCACATGGCCTAGGTGTGTAGGCGGCTAGACACGCTGGTCCGTACGTTCTCACAAGCAAACCTGCTTTTATCAAGGTCTCCAACTGCATTTACGCTGTGAATTCACTCTTCATTTTTCCGTTCTCATGTTACTTCACAGAAGCGTCTGGCACAGCTGACCACCTCTCCTTCCTGAAGCCCGTGCCGGGCTCCTGGACCCCCGCGTTCTGAATGAAGCTGCCCTTTTACTGTCCTCTCCTTCTTACCCTCCTTTACCGGCTCCTTCCTGCCCGGGCTCTGCTTCTCTTCGCTCTTCGTATCTGTCTTCTCTTCGGACCTCACCCATTCCCATGGCATTAAGTGTCCTTTGCGTAATTCCAACTTCCACATTTGTGTCTTCAAGCCACACCTCCATTACCGGCTCCAGACTCATGTCCAACTCTTGTTTGGTTGGCGGGTACATCTCAAGCTTAACGTTCTTGAATTCTCCATTTCCATCACCCCCAAAAGCTCTAGTATCTGCCCACTGCTCGCCATGGCCACTACCTCCCTCTATAGCAGCCCCTGTACTTGTAGTTTTGCCCTCTGCCGCTTCAGTTACCCACACTCAACTGTGGTCCGAACATATTAAATGGAAAATTCCAGGAATAAACAATCCATAAGTTCTAAATTGTGTTTGATTCTGAGTAACGTGATGAAACCCCTCCTCATCCTGCTTCATCCCACCGGGGCCATCAATCACGCCTTTGTCCAGCGAACCCACGCTGTGGATGCCACCCGCGCTCGGGGCTCCTATGTTACGGGCTTTGCTCATGCTGTTTCCTGTACCTGGAAACGTCTTCCCTTCACCTCTGTTCTTTGTGTGACCATTTGATTCTCATCTGTCAGGCCTCAAAAAAATCTCCCCTGACAGTCCCAGCTAAAGCACTGCCGCTCTCATGCTGATCGCACCACCGAAAACTGTTTACCCCGCACCGTGTTTGGTTGTCTCCCCACTAAACAGTAAGTTCCGTAAGGGCAGGGCCCAGGTCTCTTTGCTATCCAATGTGTCCCCGTTACCTGAAAAGGTGCCTAGCATAGAATACTTTTTTAAAATTGACTTTTTATTTCAAAACAGTTTTAATTTATACAAGAGTTGCAAAGATAGTTCAGAGAGTTTCCATATATGCCCACCCAGTCTCCCCTGTTAGCATATTAATGAGCCAATACTGATTTATTATTATTAACTAAATTCTATACTTTATTAAGAAAGTATTTTGGGGATTTGACTGCAAAGATTTGTCTCTGCTCTAATTTTATTTATACAAATCATGTATTTATATCAGTGTAGACTCATTTATACTTTGGGTTATTTATATATATATATATACCTATATTTATACACACATATAATATATAAGGTGTCCCAAAAAATGTATACACATGCTTTTGAATAATTATAAAGGCAGTGAACACATTTCATTTTCAAAACTGAGCTGTTACAGTGTGTGTACATGTTTTAGGGCACCCCGTGTGTGTGTAGTTACAATCCACCTCTCCTAATACTTTATCTTGTAGCTCAGATTGTCTCAGCTTTGCCCGCTGGGAGCTGTTTTAATTGGCTCCTGTGCCCCTTTGACATGTCCCACCAATGGCAGTGTTTTTACTTTCTTTTCAGCCACACCTATTTTCTGGCCCTACAAGATGCTCCAGGCCCAACTTGTCCACAGCAGGGCATAAGTAGGTTCCTGGTTGTGAGTTCGTGAAACATAGAGTTTATTCTTGTATTATTATTTATTAATTGTATTATTTCTCATACGAACAAGTGTAAATCTACTTTTGCCGCACGCTGTATATTTCCTTCCCCAGTCCAGAGATCAGCCATTTCTCTGAGGATCTCTGGTTCTCATCGGAGAGCTGGGCAATAGATGTGCTTGCTGCTGGTTGCCGCTGTTTCTAGGCACGCTCAGCTGATTGAATAAGGAGGTCTGTGTGTGTCCTCTAACTTCTTTACATACACATATCCAAAAAATTTCTACATGTAACTATGTCAATATGTGGCTGAACTTCAGTTCATATTGATTTTTCCTACTCTAATCCACTGCTGCATGTAATATTCTGGCCTCCTCTCCTTGCTCACTTGTAACCTCCCACTCCAGAAACCTAACTGCCACGCTCCATGGTCCATTTACTTAATTGCTCACTTCTTGTACACACATAGTGGTGTCAGAATTAACCCATATTCCAGTGAAAAACAACTTTATCAATGAGAATACAGTACTAGGTAGAGTTCTTTGCTTTTACTTTTACAGGTTCCACTCATTTCCAAAGTTATCCAGATGAGCACCTCCCCCTCCCCCAACTTTAGTGAGTTTTTTTTCATACATTTAAAATAATTTATATGATGATACCATTTTTCTTCTTTAGCTGTGATATGGTGATTACATTGATTAATTTTCAAATATTGAGCCAGCCTTACATAACTAGAATAAAACACACTTGGTCATCGTGTATAATTCTTTGTATATATTGTTGGATTTGATTTGCTAATATTTTGTTGAGGATTTTTATATCCATGCTAATAAGAAATATTGATCAATCGTTTTCTTGCAATGTCTTTATCTGGGTTTCGTATTAGGGTAATGTTGGTTTCATAAAAAAATTTGCCCAGCTGGGTGGCTCGGTTGGTTGGAGCATCACCCCATATGCCAAAAGGTTGGGGTTTGATTCCCAGTCAGAGCACATACCTAGATTGCAGGTTCAATCCCTAGTCAGGTGTGTAAGGTGGGCAACCAATCAATGTTCCTCTCACCTCGATGTCTCTCTCTCTCCTTCTCTTTAAAAATTATCAATAAAAACATATCCTTGGGCAAAGATTAAAAAATAAACTTTATAAAATTTTCCTCTGATTCTATTTCCTGGAAGGGATAGTGGAAAATTGGCAGAACTTCTACCTTAAATGTAGGATAGCATTTATAGGTAAAACCATGTGGACCTGATGCTTTATTTTTGGAATGTTATTTATTACTAATTCAATTACTTTAATAGATATTGGGTTAGTCAGGTTATATATTTCTCTGTGAGTGACTTTTGTTTGTGTCTTTGAAGACGTTGGTTCATTTCATCTGCATTCTCAAATTTGTGGGCATGGAGTTGTTTGTAGTATTCCTTTATAATTCTTCTAACATACATCAAATAAGTAGTTATTATTTCTCATTCATTTCTGATGTTGGTAATTTATGGCTTCTCTCCTGTTTTCTCGGTTAACTCAGCTAGAAGCTTATCAATTTTATTGGTCTTTTCAAAGAACCAGGTTCTAGGTT